TGAGTCTGTGGCGTGGTTGAGAGTCCTGTAACTCTGTCTGCAAATACAGTTTATAATGACCAATGTTGGGCAATTAATTACATAGTTACTTCTTCAAAAACGTTATTGAGTTTTGCAAACAACAACGTTTTTTGCAGCTGTTTATCAAAAAATGCAGCCAAGGCATTTTTTAAATAAACATTTCAAACTATTTACAGAACAATCCGGTGTTCTGCATCAAATTTGATGCCACACAAATTATTTGTGCCACTCCAAAACAACACACTAACTTTAGACTCCAAACAAATGTCGCAAATCTCTCATATCTCAAAACACCGCTGTCACTTCTAAAACCTCCCCCCTTCCTAAACCACTAAATGCCATGTTGCCATATCATTTTTTTGATTGGTCGACATAGTACATTTTTCCAACAATAAGAAAGGGTGGGGTTATTTTTGGTTTTGGTTTTGCAGGCGGAGAGAGAGCTTTCCTTATAAAACGCAGTTTTTACCGTTTCTTCCTGCAGTAAATATAAATACAATCAATGGCAGTATTCAGGAAAACAAAGAAACAAACATTGCATATATATATATATTATAACTGCTCCTGAAGGTTTTTCATGTTCGAAGTAGAATAAAGGGCCATGCTCCAACTGATGTTCAGCCAGTATTTTAATCTTCTTTTCACCAGCAAACACCGTGAAAAACTATGGTGAAATGATCAATGAAAAACACGGATATTACATCAGCAGAACAAAAATTACAACTCAAATAAAACATACACACGAAGTAAATGCACCAACATACCGTGTGCGCCTTTCTACTGAACATTCATGAGCAATTGTAGTCCATATCTTCTATATTTCCACCCTTTACACAGGCCAGCATTCTCTTTCTGGCTCGAGCCTTCAGTCTCTGGTGACACGTGCGCTTAATTGAGCCTCACCCCAAAGCATGCGCACCACAAAGCGCCACACTCAGGCCCACCAGTAGGTGGCGACAACACAACATGAATCCAGATTAAACACCAAATTTTGAACATTGCAATCACATAATAATAATTGCATTCCAATGCGACAGCTACATATATATATATTTTTATCATAACTCTGGTTTCACGTGCCTATCAACACAATTTAAAAACTGTTATAAAGTCCACACATCAAGTGTACTTGACTCTGCTGTATGCTGTGTAAATGTGACTTTTGAGCTGGGTGAAATCCGTGAAGCAGAAATAATATATTGCATTGCTAATCATCGGTTGTGGCCAATCAAATTGTATGGTCCGACTATAAATAGTAGCTGCTATTTTGATTCATTTATTTATTTATATTTATTTTTAGTTGATTAAGGCTGTTCGTACTACTGGTATATTTGTGGAGTCGGATTAACCACAGAGGACGTATTTGATTTCCCGTTTCGGGTCTATTAATAAGTTGTGTTTTTACTCTGAAGGCCTAAAGTAGAGGTGACTGGGTGCCCCACTGGTAATCCAGGCTCTGAATCAGTTAACAGTACACGTGCAAATACATGATTGCATCTTCTGATGTCTGTTTTAAATAGCTGTCAATAAATTCGTTATTTTACTCCCAATCACGGCTCTGGCTCAAGTGTTACAAACCTTAGAAACTATGTAAATGAACAGGAAGGCACTAACTATAGTTATATAGATCATTTGCATAGTACATAGTATCTATAGATACTGTCTGTGTGAAACTCCCAGGTTGGCGTAGTCGGGTTTCCCCTGTGACTGTAAAGCTTTAAGCTCCCGATCGCCACAACACCATATTTGTGTTTGCAGAATCGATGGATTCTGGTCAGCTGTACATAGATAATCCTGACAATATACAGTAAACCCGAGTCTTAAAAAAACGGAATTAACAGAATTTGAATAAATAATAAACAAATTTATTCACCTGTGTTTGAGCCTCAGGCATGGCACCATGCCCCTCCCATGTTTTAAATGTACGTTAGAATAGCATGCATCGTCTTGATGCATTCTCAATCATCCAGGAAAGTAAATCTCCAAAAGTTGATTCTGTTCATCTGGACGTAGCGTTTTGTGGGAGAAACGTTTCGTCACTCATCCAAGTGACTTTACCAGTCTCAGCTAACTGCAGGTTTCCAATCTTATAAACAATAGATTTGCATAATGACTGAAACCAGCCCACTGAAGGAACAATGGGCTGGAAGGTCAGTTCCTTAATCATAATTATGCAAATTCTCATGACCATTGATCAACACCACTGACCAAAACCCACTGATCAAAGACCACTGATCAGTGCATGCATCAACACAATAAGTGAGCGGGAGGAGTGAGGCGTGGGGTCTTCACACACCCCCATTCACGCTGTACAGATCGTGTTTGATTGTGTGTGTTGGGCATTTTGCACACTTTTGTCACAAATATAAACATTTTTTAAGGAAACAACGACGAAAAGTTTTCATGAGATTGCAAAAGATAACAGTGCATATTTGCATGTACACATATGGATGTCTTACAATTTTCTACAATGTTTCATCTTATCTATATTGTTTTTATTATATTATCCCTCTGTCCAGCACTTTGAACGACACTTGATGTCTTTTAACTGTGCTATAAAGATGACTTGACTTGACAATAGAGAAACGAGGAAGCGGTGTCCTTTGCGTCATTCTATTCTCATCCATAACCCGCGTATTTTTGTTCTTTTGGTTTCTTCCGCGTTTGGAGCCATGTGCAACTTGACGTGCAGTCTGAGCTCTGGAGAAGCAGGAATGTGGATTGTACCGCAGATATCCGGTTAAAACCTTTGGGAGAGAGATCAAAGTTTTGTTTTTGTATTTGATACCGCGTTGGTTCTGCGGAAAGAAAGACACGATAGTAAGTACATTTGTGCAGAGGTTTGTTGCATCATTCAGTGTTATGCGATCTCCTTATTTTCCCCGCACTCATCTTCAGATCAGAAATAGGTCCGACATGTTTGTTCACATTTTTTAGTTTTGGTCCGGGCTGCTGCATAAAAACAGAAACACATCGACAACATTCCGCCGAATTAAATCAATATTAGACTTCAAACGCACTAAATAATTTCTGAAGCAGAATCGGCTGGAATACGAAAACATCTACACAACTAAATAAATAGTGGTTTGCATTACTCGATTTGCACTAATTTGCATTAGCAGTAACAATAAGTGAGCGGGAGGAGTGAGGCGTGTGGTCTTCACACACCCCCGTTCTCTGTTCGCCATCTGGGGCAGGGGTTTGGTCGGTGTCTGGGCTAGTGGGCTGACAAGACTGACACACTTTGTACAGTTACATCATAGTCACTGGTTACAACACATAGCAAGGGCGTAGATTTGGTTTTGGCATTGGTGGGGACGGATGATTCAACCACTGAACCCTGCCCTGTTCCTTTTTTCCTTTTTGTCGCTTCTTGAGAAAAAAGAAAAAAAAAAGGAGAAATATACTTGCCTACATATGCTATTCTTCATGCTTTTAAATCATTTAAAATTACAGTTCATAGTTTTATATGTGAATTATATAATGTTAAATTACTATTAAACAAATGACTGACTAAGTATTTTAGGCTTTAGTTTACTTCAGCCATATTCCATATCAATCAGGTATCATACAAACATAAAAATAGCTTCAAATACAGTCATGACAATAAAAGAATATGACTTTAAGGACTTAACAACATTAGTTCAGTTATAGTGCACCAACATCTCTAACACATTAGCACTAAGGGAACACTGAATAACCTGGTGGTTTTTGTCCATAAAACCACTTAGCTACGATTACCACAAAAGATCTCTCGGCAAAACGATGCAACATTTTAGGCACAATATTGCCCCGATCAAATCAGTGAGCTGGGATGTTTTATTCTCAACATGAACTACTGTTACAGCAAAAGACATGGACTACTGGTGTCCCACACAACAACTCAATGTCCATGTGAAGGAGCCAAACACACGCCTGCTCCTCTTGTTAACTGAGATAAACTGCTGGCATATTTGTTTTACATCTATACTGTCCAGTCTCTCCTGGTGGACATGGCATACAGCAGCATTGTTTCATCTCATTTGAGTCATTGTTGACCTTAGCCATCTTTTTAGTCTTGTGAGAGCACTGAAGCTTCTTTCAGCCTCAGTACATGCGTTTTATCCTCAGATTAAAATTATTGTGTGCTTGATGTGCCTCACCTTTGGGCCTGGCTCTTCCCCTCTGACTGCACTAGGACATATTGCTACCTGATAAAATAACACATGGATTCGTGCCATAAAAAAAGTGAGACATGTCGATTCAGATTCTTTGTCAAATATACACTAATGAAACAATTTACATCAGCAGCCTAACAATTGTCATGATAATAAATACTAGTTAATCTATAGCACCAAATCATCAGTCAGTCACCTGTGACCTCGCCTCTTCACCTCTGTCCGAGCTACAACATGGCAGAGCTGCCTCTGTCACCTGATGAATAACAGTGAGCCATTCCACATACATGCAGTCACACATGTGCTTCAAATACAGTCATGAACCACCAAGTCATCATCCAACTTCACCTGTGATTCTTGTATCACCATTGCTCCACCACTACACCATTATTAAAACAATTTGTGCAAAGTGCACTCCAAGGTGGAATATTTGCAAAATCATGACTACCTCATGATATTTTGTCTCAAAAATGAACCCTATGAATATGTCAGCACCATTAGGATGAAATTATTGTGGCACCAACATTTTAACGTTAGACACATACTTTTAACAGCCTCTGTAAACTAATATCCTGGCCTGCTCAAGGCTGCCGTTTTCTCTGACAGTTTCAACCAAAATTGGAAATGCTACTGTGGGAGACTGAGAGAACTAATAGTGCTGCCTGTTGTGCAGTTAGTTTCCAAAACACGTTATTTATGGTTACATACAATTTCAGACTGATGTGGGCCAAAGCCTAGCATAGCCTGTAACGTTATTATGAAGGACACATTTTATGAGTGAACTTGAGTTTAAGTGACTAACAGGTTTCTTTGAAAAATACTTTAAATATAAATTTCGTAACTGAAGTCAGTGAATTCCATGTTGATGCCAACTGTAATTTCAGGAATAGAAACAGCATGAAGATTGAAGTGTGAGCATAAGATTTAAAAACTATACTAACAATAAGAATAAAGGAGCGAGCTCTTGGTGTGAGTGAGGTGGCCCTGAAAAGAGCCGTTGTTTGTAGGAGAGCGTGCAGCTTAAGCTCTCTCTCCGCGGATGCGGCGAGCCAGCTGGATGTCTCTGGAAGCGCAGGTCGGTCTTGAAGTCTTGAGCAATCTCGCGCACCAGGCGCTGGAAGGGCAGCTTGCGGATCAGCAGCTCGGTGGATTTCTGGTAACGGCGGATCTCTCGCAGAGCCACGGTACCAGGCCTATAACGGTGGGGCTTCTTGACGCCTCCGGTGGCCGGGGCGCTCTTACGGGCGGCCTTGGTGGCCAGCTGTTTCTTGGGGGCTTTACCGCCAGTAGACTTGCGAGCAGTCTGCTTGGTTCGTGCCATTCTTCCTCACGTTCCTTTCGCTGTGATAAGAGCAGAAAATGTAGCGAACAGAGGAGACTCGCTGCTCTTAAAGTGTGTGACTGGCTGTGACGCGGTGCCGCTCCGGCTCGTGATTGGTGACGGGCTCCACGTGGAGCATCGCCCCGCCTCGGTGTGTGCTGCTCATTGGAGAAAAGTGCATTGAATTTGCGCGCTGCCGCAAGTCTCTCTGCGATTGGTGCGTGACGAATCCGCCCGCGCCCTGCAGAAATATAAGCGAGGTTTTGAGCTGATCGGGCCACATTTTCTCTTAGTCTCGATACTACGAAGAAAGCACTGTGATGTCCTGGTTTTCCAGCCCCGTGTACAGCCGATACTGGCAGCACTATTGGCAGGCCATGGCGTGGCATCAGAGGCACAGGCTCGCCTACAGAAAGGCCTTGCAGGCTGCCTACGGCCCCTGCTGCTACCAGGAGGAGGGGCCCTGTGACCGGCCTCGCTATGCTGACTGGAGCTCTGCAGAGAGCAACAGGGAAGACAAGGAGGACTATGCAGAGGAAAGTAGCTCGGAAAGCGAGATTGAGTGCGATGTGAGCAACATGGAGATCAGCAAGGAGCTCCGGCAGTACTTCGCCCAGACTGAGCGACACAGGGAGGAGCTCAAGAAGTAGCAGCAGATGGAGGCGGAGCAGCAGGGCAGCTACATGCCGGCCGATCAGGACCTACACAGCTTCTCGTTGCGGAGCAGTGTCACCCCTCCCTTGGAGAGACTCGGCGAAAGACGCACGGCCGAGATGAAGAAGCTGTACGGCGGGGATGTGGCCAAGATCATGGCCTTGGAGGCGGCGATGCAACTCAATTTTGAAAGAAACTGTGACCTGAAGCAGCCTAAGTACTGGCCCGTGATCCCGCTTAAGCTATGACACCGTAAACAGTTTGATCTGGAGAAGATCCATGCTCTGATCCCTCTGCGAGCTGCTGATGTAGAACTAACAGGTTTAGGAAGTTTGAAGTTATTTCAAGGAAGAAAACAAAACTTCTGCTTGGCCAAACACAAACATCCCCGACCTGTCGGCTGCTGTTCCAGATTAAAAACCTCTGGCTGTGGCAGTACGAAACACCTCATCGAGGTTTACCCTACTGCATAAATTGGTTTTTAATTTATGGCATGAAACACCAGCACTTAGTCCCCCAAAACATCCTGTTGGTTTGGCGCTAAAAAGTGAGAAGCAGCGTGAGCTGAGGGTCAGAGTTGCAGTAAATTTGGGATAGCTCAGCAGGTAGAGTGGTGGTGGCCCCATGATCGGAAGGTCGGGGGTTCGACTCCACTGAACGGCTATAGAGGTACCCCTGAGCAAGGTACCGTCCCTACACACTGCTCCCCGGGCGCTGCATTGGTGGCTGCCCACTGCTTCACTGGGTGAATGGGTTAGATGCAGAGGAACTATTTCCCTATGGGGACTAACACGCACACTTTACACTTTACACTTTACTTTACAGGTAATGCAAATGTATTCAAACAGCCTGCGCCTGTGTTTCCTCCTAATCTTTTTGTTTACCCTCTGGCTCGGTGATGTTTCATGCTGCAGTAGCTCCTCTTATGCCTGTCAACTTAGTTTAACCACAAAAAACATTGTCCTCCCCGTCCTCCCCTTCCCTCCCCTCCCTGTGTTCAGATTTGGGAGCGTTCCTGCATGGCTGCCTCTGCCTACACAACAAGAGTGATTTGTTGTTGCTACTTCTAAAGTGCGGTTCTCCGATTCTGACATTTCACTGGCTTCAAAGCCACTCGTGTGAGTTCTCTGGGGAGGGGGTGTTGACTATTCTGTTTTATCTTGTTTGTGTTTGCACCAAGCTGCTCCATTTTTTTTAAAATGGGAGGATGTGTATTTTATATGATTTCTGTTTGTAATAAAGTGTTTTCTGTCCACATGAAGGAAAGAAAAAAAAAAAGCAAGACTGGAGGCTATTGGGGACGGTACTAGGACTGCAGGAATTAAGAGTAAAGATCCCTTTCTCATGATGAGACTGTCCCGAGCAGAATATAAAGAGATAGTGCGATGGACTGAAAAACTGAGACCTACACGCCGATGCATGAAGATACTGAAGGACAAGTTTCCAAGTCACTCGCAGTCCACTCTTCTGAGCATCTACTCCCTGGAGTACCGGAAATGGATCAAAAGGACATTCTCAAGACACCATGTGCCGAATGTTATTGAAAGCTACTACCAAAGGTATCTGAGTGAAGCCAAGGCACAGCCTACTGCTCGTGTCCTGCTTGAATTGGCCAATGAGGTGGATCTGTCTCCTGCGCTGATGGCTCGTATCATCCTGGACAGGTTCCTTCAGGGCCAGGATGGTGGAATGCCATCTAAATCAGTCCTCAACAGCATGCTGAAGGAGCCATCTTTAATTCCAGACCAAATTTTGGCCAGTAATGTCTACCAATGCACAATAAATGACTGCTGTTATGGACCGCAGGTAGACTGCATCAAACACGCCATAGGCCATGAGCATGAAGTGCTGCTCCGGGAAAAACTGAAGGAGAAGAACCTTTCCTTTCTGGATGAAAACCATCTGAGAACTATGGGCTATGACAAAACACCTGATATCATCCTGGAGGTTCCAGTTGCTGTGGAAGGACACATTGTACACTGGATTGAGAGCAAAGCCTCTTTTGGAGATGATCAAAGCCATCAAACCTATCTCAATGAACAATTCTGGAGCTACTGGAACAGGTTTGGTCCAGGCCTTGTGATCTACTGGTATGGCTTTATTGGAGACCTGGACTGCCAGAGAGACAGAGGTATCCTACTCAAAGACTGCTTCCCTACAGACATTGTCACCCTGTGCCATGCCACGCAACAAGACCGATCACCTGAGAGCCAGAATAAAGACAACGAATGAGAAAAGATCAGAAGCAAGAATAAAACCAAAGTACAGATGAAAGAATGAATGGGAGGAAAGAGGGAAGAGACTGTACAGATTTTGATATATCGTTCACATTTCTTCTGTTTTTTTCACAGCCGTACTATGCAGTAATGTTTTCTTTAAACTAAGCACAGGAAGGAGTGACTGTCCAAAATGGGTTTCAATGTTTTTGCACGGTTTCTTTGCTTCAACATGCATGGAATATTTGATGCAGATTTATTATTTAATATATTCTTTTTAAATTTGTGTGTTGCATGCTTTAGGTGTGTTGTGTTTTGTTTTTTTGTTTTTTGTTTTTTTTTAATTATCCCTATTTGCTGTGACTGCACTTTGCAAAGCCCTGGTCATGTCCTGTATTCCTGTTCTCTACATCTCAGACTACAGATCTAGTTCATTAAATGAGTAATGTGATAATAAAAATGAAATGGTTGCAATGATTCTAACGATAATCCACAGGGTGTATTGAAAAAAGTGTTTTATAAGAAATTGTTATCCTGTCTGTTTGCTTTTTTTTTTTTTTTTGTTAAGGAAAAGATGTCCGGTGTCAGCTTTTAGCTCTCAGTAGGGGTTCAGAAACATTCGTTTCTGAACAGCCAAAATGAGTGGAAGAGGAAAGGGAGGTAAAGGACTACGAAGAAAAGAACTTGTTAAAATGAGTGGGCGTGGAAAGACCGGAGGAGTAATTGGTTATTAGTTATGTAATCATGCCCCATTATCGTTTGCTTCAAACTGCAGCAATTTATAGGTGAGACTTAAGTACATCAGAAACGGGGATTATGTTGCTGAAGAGCTGATATTGCAAACGTCATGGCTGAATGTGCAGGACATATACTCTTTCATTGCTCTGCCCAGTAAGTGGGATTTTGAGCTGTGTTTCACCCAAGAGGCGCCTCTACGTTGCTTCTTAGAGATCTCTCTTTCCAACGCATCACTTCCGAAATGGAAAGACTGGCAAGTGGAGTCTTCTGTCCAGGTAGAGGTAGTGACTCTTGTTGTTAAATTCTGGACTGGAAGGATTCCAGACCAAGATATCGAGCTATATCTTAAAAGGTACTGCGAGATTCTTCAACCCCCAGTCAAGCCGGTGGATAAATTCGGATTCTGGTATGGAGTCCGAAAATACAAAGTTTGGATGCGTAGAGATGAAGCTGGACATATAATCTCTATCCCGAATTCCATCTCGTTGGGCCCCTATAATGGCAGGATTATTTATCCTGGCCAATTGGTGAGGTGCTTTATCTGCCAAGGCCCAGACCACCAGGCGAGAGAATGCCCCACTGTCAAATGTTGGAAATGTGGTGAGTTGGGCCACAAGGCTAAAATTTGCCAAAACGAAAGTGAGTGCTCCCTCTGTGGTGCGAAAGGGCACACTTTCTTTAAATTCCCCAAGTCCTACGTGAATATACTTAAATCTTCCCAACAACCTCGACTTTCTGACACCATGGATTTCCCTTCCTTGGTGGATCCTTCTCAAGTTTTGGATCCCCCCGTGAATGACCAGGTGAGAGAGCCCTCTCCCTCTCCTCCCCCTCCCCTTCCTCCGACGGCTGCCTCACTGTCACTCCCAGTTTCACTGTCACTCCAAAGAGGGATGACAACAAGGAGGTGGGAAGGGTACGAACACTGAGCTATGCAGGGGTGGATACCTAGATCCGGAAGCAATTTGGCTTTCCTGCAGTGTGAGACTACTGGCAAAAAATCTGCCCTGAACTTCACCTGACCCTCATTCTCTCGCTCTCTCTCTCCCTTTCTTCCTCTCATTCACTGCTCCAAAGCGGCCGCATGTAAATGCACACCAGCATTCTCTATATATCTGACGTCACTCATAGTCATACCTGTAAATGGAAAAACATGATCTGGGAGGCTATTCTGGTCGTGGTTGTCTTGTTTCTTTATGTTGTTGTGGGTTCTTAAGAATGACACCATTACTTGAAGAGAAGGTATTTTATCGAACTGTGGTTCACATGTAAACAAAGCTTCGCCATCACAGTCTACACCGAGGTAACTCGCTCTGCTCTCTAGCTCCCCCTACAGTCTAGGAGTATTAACAACATAAAACATGATACTAGGCAAATAAGGATTTGCTGTTA